GGTTTAGACTGGTGCCCTGCGGGAGAGCTGGGCAGCAGGGGGAAGGGCATTCACCATGCCTCCTGGCTGGGGCAGCACCAGGCAGGCCACTGAGCACCCTCCGTAGGGAGGAGTCCGTAGGGAGGAGTCCGAGAAGGAGTCAATGCTGGAGGACTGCGGGTCTGCATGGGGACCTTGGAGGGACTGCCAGCCACCCAAGGATTAAGCTGAGCAGCAATTTTTGGAACAGGAATATGTTTTATGAAGCCCTAGGCAAGGAGGATTTCTCCCAGTGTGTGTGTGTGTGTGGGGGGGATCTTTAAGAGCCAGTGCAGCAGGAGGAGGCAGAGTGAGTTGAACTTAGAGAGAGGAAAGAGGAGGCTGGGGTTAGGGAAGAACTGGAGTTGGCCAGGGGTGGGGCTGGACCAGCCTGAGGCGAAGGAGCTCTGTTACCCAAAATCCCAGTCCTGCCAAGGAAAACGGGCACCCAGCAAACGAAAGAGTGGAGTGTTTCTTTAAGAGAAATGAGGGTTTTTTTTTTTAATTCTCTGCTAGTTACCTTCTTAACCTGAGATAACCTCAGCTCCTGCTTTGGGATCACATGAGCTGGGATCAGGGTTTTGGTACCGCTGGAGAGAAACGAACTGGAGCCGTCTAGTGGACTTAATGCAGACATTAGTGTGTGAGGGTGCCGTTCATGCTCACCTCTCCTGCTGGCTAGGACTCTGGGGCCACACTGCAGGAAAATCCCCCTGGGGAAAGGACACTAGGCCACTCTGGAAAAGCATAGCACTTGCCTTCTCCTAGTTGGCATTAAGGAGAAACTAAAGACTTGGAGGGAGGGCCTGCATGCCCCAGCCCCCGCCCCGCCCCGCCCCCATGCCCCTGCAAGCCCTTGCTTTAGGTTTCAGGAATCTGTTGCCAGCTCAATGCGCTAAGACCTGGATAGACCTGCTTTGACCTGAAGTGCGCAGAGGGTTATATCAGGCTAACTGTAGTCTGTGTTGCATGGGGCAACTCTCCCTTAGGCATCGGACACTGCGAGTTCTTCCATCGCTGTGCAGAACGATCAGTAAGGACTCAAGGGTTCGGTGGTGCAGCCTCTGTCTGACATGAGCACGGGCAAGGCTCTGGGCTCAGTCCCCATATGGCAATACATGAGCCAAAAATCCAACAAATACAGGTTCCGCTCTCAGTCCTAACCCTCACGCTCTGCAGCCCGTGAGCTGTACAGAGCTTTTTTTCTTTCCCACGCTGGCATAGCCCAAGCTTTTGCCTCATGGTCTTTCAGAGAGGCGAGTATTAGCAGAAAGAGTTCTGTAGACACAGCAGCTCACCGGAAGCTGTGACAGGGAGATCTCCTAGCCGGAGAGACTCAGGAGAGAGAGGCAGGGCATCCCTGAAGAAGAAGCATGTGTGAGGGCAAGGCGGCCGCAGGCAAGACTGGAGTCTGCTCTGCCTGGCATAATTCCGATCCACCGTGCGCACGTGTGGCCATGGCGGAAGTGTGTAGAAAGGTGTTTCAGGAATGCCAGCGATTGGGGGCATTTAGGGATCCAGCATCAGGGGGTTCCCAGGCAGCCCTGCCTGCGTTGCAGCTGGGCCAATCCATCCTGTGTACCACTGTGAGGATATGTTATGTCAGAAACCAAAAGCACAGCTCTGTGGACCCTGGGACTGGTCAGTATGGACCAAGCTGATTGGTTCCCTACTCTCCCAGCTCCAAAAGTCTAGAGAGGATAGCTGGCCCACATAAAACAAACTCAACGGTGTTTTTGCAGAGCGTTTTTCTCATTCATTTTGCTTTATTTGGGGACGTGTGTGTGTGTGTGTGTGTGTGTGTTGTCTAATGAATCTTTTGTTTGTATGTTTTGGTTTCTGTCCTTGTGTTTTGTGTATGTGATTCTTATATTTGCATTTTTAAAGAACAGCATAGAGTTGGGTGGGTAGGGATGATCTGGAAGGCACCAGAGGAGGGAAGAAGTGATCAGAATATATAGTATGAAAAAATGTTCAATAAACAACGATGTATTTGTTTGCACACACACAGACGCACACACATGCATGCACATGCGCGCACGCTCACACACACGTGCACACACACGCTCACACACACACTCACACACGCTCACACACACATGCTCACACACACGCTCACACACGCACACACGCACACACGCTCACACACACACGCTCACACACACGCTCACACACACGCTCACACACACACGCTCACACACTCACACACACACGCTCACACACACGCTCACACACACACATGCTCACACACACACGTCCAGAGCAGGGCTTTGCAACTCTACCCCATGATGCTCCTGCTCTTGGGAAGGCGACTCGCCTAGCATGGTAGACTTGGGTGTACGGGGAATGTTTGCTTGTCCCCACTCATAACTCATAACGCCCCCTCTCTGCCAAGCGTAGGGAGATGCTTTACAGTAGAAAACACCAACAGAGGCAGCAGACTGGTATCCAACGCCATATGTACCCAGCCGGGAAGAACGTAGGGATGGCAAAGCCGGGGAGTGACTGTCAGTGTAAACAAGGCTCCCGGACCCAGAAAATGCACAGAAAATTAAGTCCTGCCAATTTTCTTTTACATTTAACTAACTGGATCCCTCCCTTCCCCCCCTCGTTTATTCAGTCTCTGCCATAAAAAGGGGGATCCTTGAACCCAGAACCAACTGGCCTGAAGCTATCATTTTGTGTGATCTAGCAGGCTATAAGATCTCTTATCTTGCTGCTGGGCTCTCATCTCCTGAGTATTGGTGGGGTGTGGCCCGAAGGCCCCAGACAGTGCACAGTGGCAGTATAGTGGCTGACATTCCTTCAGGCAAACAGCTTTGTTCACGCGACAGGGATGGCAAGGGAGAGGATAAAGTCCCCAACCTTCTGTATGTAACATGTGGTCTAGAAGGAAAGCTGGGAATGTCAGTTACTTGGCATAAAAGGGACACAGGCAGAACCAGCAGAGTGAAAAAAGTAAAAGCCAAAACGATGACAACAAAAGCTAGGAACGCATGCGATACGTGGCGGTCTCCTCAAGTGCCTTGTTCAGAACTCATTGCTGCCGTGCCCACATAAAACATGACGAGAAGGCACAGGCCGGGTCCACCAGAACACATCTCAAACACTGAGCTCACGCTGTAGGGACACAAGTAGTGCTAGCCCATGCCTGGTGACAGATCACCAAAGCACAGGACACCTGGCACGGAGGGCCCAGTCTTTTAGTGGAGCCAGAGCTATGGCGGGTGTCACCTGCCCACACTGCACAGCACCAACTCGGAGGGTTCGGATAATAAATGGGAAATGTCTGGGGATTGCAAGTCGGATTAATGATCCCACTGGGCTGCGGAGGCTGCTTTCTCTTACAGCCTCAGTGATTGTGCCTTAGACGAATCAAGGGTTGACAGGCAGCTCGGGATAATTCCTTGAGTCTCCAGGGCGTGGGGCCATGGGTCTACACTTCACAAAACCCACAGCAGTGATGGCTACAGAGAGGACATCTGTCGCCCAGCGATGAAGGTGACTACTGAATCATCTGTGGGCTCACATTTCACCCAGAGCTATCAGTAAAAATCCCCAATGGTCAGTGGGTGATGGGATTTCCCTTCCCACGAGGCACTTCAGGGGGTCAACTGTGATAAATCCCAAGAGAAATCACCTGATGTATACCTGAGCCTCCCAAACCGGAAACCATGGATTCATGCACAATGTTATAAAATACCATGTAAAATACCCTCTTTTATGTGTACCTCTTATACATAACATATACATGAATTTTAGGTTTATGCTGAGTCCTATCCCCAAGATATGACTTTAGATACACACAAGTACTCCCAAATTCAGAAAACAGTATAAGCTACTCTATGTTCATAAACAACTAGACTCTCCTGGCACGGGCATACATCTTTAATCCCAGCACAGGAGGCAGAGGCAAGTGGATCTCTGTGGGATAGAGGCTACACAGTAAGATTATGTGTAAAAATAAAATACAATAAAAACAGCAAGTAAAACAAATTCATCCTTTGTACGTGGCCTGATGCTGGCTTCAAAGCACGCCACATAGTCTCTTTATAAGTCCTTCTAGTGTGAGTCCCACTGTGGCCTCCAGACAGAGGGCAGATAGTCTCTCATCCTGCCCCTTTCTCTCTTGCCCCTCTAGGATACTCTGCTCCCACCCATTGACCCATGTGTGGCCATGTGTGAGCTGGGAGCATTGGTTCACAAGGTCGGGATAAGCACTTGACGTGGAAAGGAAGAGAGTACTCTGAGTGGAAACGTGGCATTTCCCTAGGATGAAGCCGAATGTCGTGGTACATGAGACCCATTTGCCATCCCCATGTGATGCGGGGAGGCGGGTTTCTCCAGCATCCCCGTTTACAATGAAAGCTCACATTTTACTTGCAAAATCCACGCCCCAGGAGTTGGGGAGATGAACCAGTGAGTGAAGTGGTGCTGTGTAAACATGAAGCCTAGAGTTCAAATATCCAGCAAATATCCAGCTCCCACATAAGCAGTGGGGTGCGGCACTGTGCACCTGGAACTCCAGTGCTCAGAGGCGAGAGAGCCAATGAGTTCCGGTGTGAGACCCCGACTCAAAAAGATGAGGGAGAGGAATGGGGGAAGACACTCGGTGTTGACCTCTGGCACACATGGGTACATGCATCCCCACCCCCCCATACACACACACACACACAGACACACACACACACAGACACACACACACAGACACACACACAGACACACACACAGACACACACACACAGACACACACACACAGACACACACACAGACACACACACACAGACACACACACACACAGACACACACACACAGACACACACACAGACACACACACAGACACACAGACACACACACACAGACACACACACAGACACACACACACTCTCACACACACAGACACACACACACAGACACACACACAGACACACACACAGACACACACACACAGACACACACACGCAGACACACACACTCTCACACACACAGACACACACACACAGACAGACACACACAGACAGACACACAGACACACACACACACACATACACTCACACACAGGGAAAAAGAGAGAAAAATTAAAACTGAATCCATGCAGTTTAGACAGTGCTTTGGAACCAGAGACCCACAAGTGTATTTTGAATAAACAAATAAGTCTTGTCCCGCCTAACAATTTCTCTCAGTCTGTTTAAAGTCTCGAGGCAAATGGCAACACCGAGTAATGACAGCTACTTTTTATTATTATTTTGCCTGAAGTGAACCTACGATACTCTAAGTCCTGGAAGGAGCTACGTGTCTTGAGGCCACGTGGAAGGGTGATTTCATTATCTGTTAAATGAAATGTGTTTTCCAAAGTTGTCACTGAGGGCTCCTAAGATGATTCTAATCACACAGACGTGGAAACAGCACCGATTCCCAGAAGGGTCGGATCGCCATGATGATCATCTAATTAAACAGATGGTTTGATGACACCCCCCTCCCCAACACCATATACAAAGCACAAAGCCTCCCCTGTGTCACACTCCCCTCCCCCTAAATTAGAGTAATGACTTCAACTTGGGTGAGAGAATGGTGGGGAACCCCCCATCAAGCAGTAAGGATGAAATTAATGCCACTAATTGGGGACTTCTGTTCTGGTGTGGCACGTACTGGATCTGGATAGATCTCTGTCAGGGCTGAGGTCAAGTGCTGCCTATGGACATGCCAGGAACAGAGGGCGAGCTGGGATCCCTATGGATCAGCAACTGAGGGTAACATTTCCATGAGGACTGAAGGTGGTTTATCTATTAAACGTCAAGGGGAACGCCATTACTAGACACACATAAAGGTAGCTAGATACTAAGAAACAAAGTCAATTCTCAAAATAAAACCCCCAAATTATAGAGTATGCTATTTTTTCCCTGTAGGACCTGTAGCTGGGCATGGATTAGTTCCCAAACGGATGTGCATCCTGTCAGGAGGATGGCGGCTCCGTCAGGTGAGCTGCGCATGTGTCCCGAGTCCCCACTAGACCTAGCTTATGCTGCACAGCAGGAGATGATACCCGAAATCTAAAGCTAGGGAAGAGTAACTACACCATATAGATATGACTCTACAATACTGGCTTCTGTCTCCACAGGCTCGTGTGATTGAACACCTGACCTCAGGCAGTGGTCCAATTAGGGTGGCGGAGATGGAGACGGGAGCCTTGCTGGGTAGAGTGGGCTGTTAGGAATTGTTAGGATCTGAGGGTTATATCAAGCCCCACTTCTGGCCCCAGTCTGTCTGTCTCTGTTTCAAACCCCTGCGTGTCACCCAGCAGTCTCACACTCCCAACACCACAGATCTGAGCCGCCAGGCCACTGTGTCTTCCCACCATGATGGAGCCAAGGTGAGCCCTTCTCCCTGAAGATGCTTCTTGCCATGTGCTTTGTTACAGGAATGAGATCTGTAATTAACATGCTCCCCGATACCGGATTCCCAGACCAGCTTGCTTGGCCTTGGCTTCTCACCCACTTCCTTCCACACAGAGGGAAAATGGTAGCAACCAACTCCCCCGTGGCGTCCGCGCCATGAACAAGTCCGAGATATCGGGAAATGAAAGACAAGACGTCCAACCGTTTGTGTTAGAGAATGCATCTGCCATCTTTATTGCCAGGAGAGTGTATGAGTGCATGCGTGTGAGTGTGTGTGTGTGTGTGCGCCGCATCTGTGTGTCTGCATAAGGAGTGAGCAGCCTTATATACAGACTTACAGCACAGTGGAGAACCCCAGCTGTAAGAGCTCGTGTTTTCCTCATGCTAGACATTGATGTCACATGGGCAAGGCCGGGCTGTAAGCCAGGACTAGAGAGCAGGCTGCACCTGTGGCTATCAGCTGACAGGAAATGCACAGAAATCCGTGGGGCTGGGACCCAACACTCCCCCATGCACACGGTGTCCTGTGAAACACCCCTGCGTGTGGACGTTTCTCTGGAGCATTGTGTTTGGTCACACGCCATGGTTTGGAATACGAGAAGGCTCTTTGGGTTGTCTTTTGTTTGCTTTTAAGGGACCTTGGTAGAGCCCAGGTTCTCAGATGCCACGGTACAGTCAGGGCTATCAGTCAGGGCTATGCTGTGAATCAGTGGGAGTGTCTGCCGCCTGCCCCACTCCCTTTCTGGATGTGAGCAGCATGTAGGGAGGAAAGTGAAACCTACTATCCTCTTACCGTAATTCACGCTAACACAGTACAGGGTATACATAAGCAAGCTGAAGATTTCAAAGAGGACCCAGGATGTCACAGCAAGGGCCCAAGGCAATTTGGCATAGCAGAGGGAGGTGCGTGTGATCTACTCTAGATATAAAGCCCCCTGAAAAATACGATATTGAGTATGGGCAGCTCTGAGACTGTGGAATTTTCTGGGCCACTTGCATAAATGATTACAGGCAGGCACAGGCAGGTAATTACACTGGAAAGTAATTATAAATCAGCCCTGTCTCCCAGAACTTTTAGAACAGTGAGAGCTTGGCATCAGGCTCTCTTTAGGGTAAAATGTGTTTTGCTTTCTCTTTTCAATCGTGTTCTGTGTGTGTGTGTTTGCACGTATGTGACTCTGCGTCTGGAGGCACTAGTTGATGCTGGGAATCATCCTTGGTCATTCTTACAGCATATTCATTGACTCAGGATCTCACACTGAAATGCAGAGATCACTGGTGTAGCTAATATTGCCAGCCAGCTTACTCTAGGGTTCCCCATGTCTGCCTTTGGAGGCTGAAGACACAAGTGGACCACCATGCCTGATAGACACTTATTTGAATTAGAAAGACAGGGGGATAAGAACTCTGGCCCCCTGTCTTTCTTAATTAGGATTTCTATTGGCACCATGAAACATCATGACCAAGGCAAGTTGGGGAGGAAAGGGTTTATTTGGCTTATACTTCAGCATTGCTGTTAATCATCAAGGGAAGTCAGGACAGGAACTCAAACAGGGCAGGAATCTGGAGGCAGGAGCTGATGCAGAGGCCATGGAGGGTGCTGCTTACTGGCTTGTTTTTCATGGCTTGCTCAGCCTGCTTTCTTATAGAACCCAGGACCACCAGCCCAAGGATGACACCGCACATCATGGACTGGGTTTTCTGCATTGATCACTAATTAAGAAATTGCCCTACAACTGGATCTTATGGAGACATTTTCTTTTCAACTGAGGTCCCCTTCTTTCAGATGACTCTACTTTGTGTCAAGGTGACATGAGACTAACCAGGACATCCTCACACGTGCCCAGCCAACGCTTTAACTGCCAAGCCATCTCCCAACCTTTCTGTGGGGTGGTATCTTATCTGGCTATTAACAGAGGAATGAAACAACGGCTCATGTGTTCTGCAGCAACAACGAGGTGCAGATCATTAGGGAGGCCTTTCCACCCGCCCCACCCCTTGCTTAAGAATTGCCAAGTGGCTTGCAGAATGGAGCACCAGACTTCTCCTGTGATCCCCCAGTGGCACTTTAATTTATAATCCCGAGTAGATGCACACCATACACAATAGCTGTTTGCTTCCACAGGTCGACAGTATATGAATTTTTTTTTGCTGCCTATGAAAGGCAGCCCACCCCTGCAAACACCGTGCTATTTCCAGAGTTTTAGGTACCAGGCTCTTATGCTGACAGTGCATTCCAAGCCTAATGGCCTCTTGGTTGCATTTGTCTTGTCTGAAAAGCTGATGCCCTCTTTATGCCAGGGCCCTGGCCTGACTGGCAATGCTAGCAACCGTGGGTTTACAGATGAGAAAGCAGCTCCCTGGATAACTCACTCAACTCAAAGACGACTTTCACATCACACCGAACTAAACATTCAGTTTCGTGACCTTCCCCTTGGTTTTGTTCCAGGGTGTCACTGCATCGTGACGTGGCAAGGGAAACTGGGACTGCCATCATTAGGAGTGGGGGGTGGCTTTAACATTTTCTCAACAAACGACAGGTCTGAGGTTAGTTCTCGGTTCAGTCTCGTCTCTCAACTCCTCCCTCAGGGGTAACTTCATCTCTGTGCCCAGAATGTCTAGTAGACAGTGAAGTCCCATCCCCTTTCTAGAACGGTGCTGAAGAAGATATGGGAGCTGGGGGGGGGCTCTTTCTTCTGTCCTCGTCAAGTGGCTGCTGGAGAGGTCACTGTCCAATGTTTCCTACATTGTCTTTTCCATCCAGCCCAGCACATGTTGAGGGCTGGATCGCTGCTCATCTGGCTTCTGGGGGTCGCGCTTAGATGTCAGACATACGCTTGTGAGATGGCATCCTATGTCCTCATCCCTGCCAGGAGGCAACAGCTTTCTCTGCCAGATTCTTGGTGGGCACGCCTGTGCTGGCGCTTCAGCTGGCTTTGCTTTTGGTAGTAAGAACCCTGCTCCTGTGTTAGTTTTCCCCTCTCTGTTGTGACCAAATACCTATCAAGAAGCCACTTAAGGGAGGGGAAGTTTACGTTGACTTCACAGTCCAGGGCATACAGTCAAGGCAGGAGGATGCTTTCTGCTTTCTTACATTTCATGTGTCAGGAAGCTCCTCAGAGGAGAAGGCTGACTCTCAGATCTGTTCTCCTTTCACTGAGTCCAGAACCCCAGCCTGTGGGATGGTGCTGACTACAGTCAAGGAAGCTTTTCCCCTCAGTTAACTCTCTGGAAATGCCCTCACAGGCATCTCCAAATGCATATCTTACCAGTGCCCAGGTGGTCCTTAATCTCATCAAGTGAACGACCCAAATTAAACACAACAGGTTCATCCCTTCTCTCTCAAATGGTGACAGTCTCCAGTCAGAATACTGGAGAGACCAAAGACAAAAGGACTCGGAGAATGGGGACAGGGTATCATGGAGTATGATGGATAGTTCTGGCCCTGTCTTACGTGCAGGGCCCTACTGTAGCATGGTGGCCTTTGGGGACAGGGCTGCATATAGAATAAGAGCCACATTCTAGAACATTCTCCCAGCCATGAACCTGCTCCTAGATTTCTCCTGGGAATGTGGACAAAAAGGCAGTAGGCTTTATCTGCAGCTCAACACATCTGTTCCCGGTAATGAGTTTGTGTTTAGCTTCAGAAGGGGATTGCTTTCTCTGGGAGGGTCTTTGTATCATTATTTTAATGTTAATTGTTTTCAGAGACTAAAAATAGAATGGCGGAGTTTGGGAGAAAGGAGCTACGCGTTTGACTCCTGACTGTAAGATTTGGTGATTATGGGGGAAATCTCTTAATCCTGAAAGCCTCGGCTTGCTCCTCAGTAAACAGGGAGGCAACACCTGCCTCTCTCCCTCACAAAGAAGAGGAGTCAGCACTCTGACCAGGGGGAGGGAGGCTCAGGTGAACAGCAGCTGCTATGCTATGGATGAACACCGCCGTTTCACACAGTGAGGGGCTGCTCACACCAGCTTGACCACCCACCACCCTGCATTGCCTCTCCGTCCTCTGGGGCTTTGCGCTCTGTTGGAGGAGCTGCCTAGGTTTTAATGGCCAAGGGGTAGAGAGAAGAAACGGATGAGCCAGAGCCTAACCAGGAAGCGGAGAAGCAGCATCCAGACGGAAACCTGGCACCTCTCTGGGCCTCAGCAGCAAGAGCTGGCTTCTGCCCTCCCCCATCCTCCCTTGCATCCAAGGCTACTCTCCCAGATGACGTTTGTGAAGTCCTCTCCTCCCCCACAAACAAGGTGAATAGAAAGAAGCCAGGGCGTTCTGGGGACACTTGGGACTCAGCCATGGGTTCCAAGTACTTTAGGACCTCACGCTAGAGATTTGTTACTTTACTGGGATTTCTCTTACGGATGTGGGAATCCCACACAGCTTGGGAGAAGACATAGGCTAAGGGAGGTCTGGTCGTTTATTGTTTTGGATTTCCAGTAGCAAACCCTGTGCTTATACTCTGAGTTACTGTGTGACTGTAATGGGATTCATTCTACAAGTCTGTCCACACAAGCCTGGCTGTATGTCTGTCCTACAAGCCTAGCTATACAATTTGCTTATACAAATTCTTGGCTATTTGGAGAGGGAAATTACGGTATTTTTTGTGAGATAAATGCCAAACTACAACAAGCACCTAGGGGTTTAAAAACGTTTTCCCAAATATTACAGAGGACAAAGAGTTCTGCCCTTTCATGGGTAAATTTGACTACTGGTCAATTTATGAAAAGCCAAAGAACATTTCTTCTCCCACACAGATATCTTGCTTGATGCAGAGGGCCATGGCACACCGGAATGGGTGACTTGGGGAGGGTCACGGGTCTGGTGAGAAAAGAACCTTTGCCCAGGTCTTCTTGTGCAAAGGCCCGATGTGCACTTTGTTGTAAGCGGAGATACCAGCCTTCTCTGGGGATGCCAATCTGGTTTCTCCAAAAGACATTCTCATTTGGATGATTTAATGTTGATTTGAGATGGTTGATTCCAGAATGCAAGGGAATGTTTTATGCTCCTTAGGTAAGCTTCGGTGTTAGGGGCAGCTGTCCATGGCTGCAGGTCATCGAGGAGACTCACATAGCAACCCACCATGTGCGGGTTCTGTCTCCAGCCTTGACGATATCCATGTGCCTTAGGGCTACCTTTGGCCTGCACCCAGGGCCCTGCACACACTCAGGTGCATTATCACAGAGGGTGACATCTGGAGCAGAAGGGGAACTGAGCAGACGTGGACCACAACACAAGATCTGCCCACGGGCAAGAGGCCTCAGCAGGGCCTCCTATTATTTGAGGTCAAGGTTTGCACACGGCAGACTGATTTCCTGTGCCACCATCTCATCTGAATATATCGGAGATTAAACGATGATAATGCTGTAGTTTCCGCTTCAAACACCATCAGCAGAGAACGGGCATGTGCAAACAGGGAGCTCGAGCGAGAAGGCGCAGATTCCTGCTGCTAAGTCGGGAGGGCTTCTCGCTGCTCAACAATGCTTGCACTGTACCTGGCATGGCAGCATTGAAGCCTCTGAAAACACTGACCTAGGGTGCCGCTGCCTTTGTCGTTGAGCATAAGATGAGATGGAATTCTTTCTGAACTTTGGTCTTGCACATTTAGCAACGTCTGGATGCAATATTTAGAAATATATATCTTCCCCCTATAGTAGAAGGGTGTGTATATCGCCTATTTATTCCAGTGAGTGTCATCAAAACTGAGTGGGGGATCTTGCTGGGGGGTGTTCTGGAGGCAGCGTTGTGCAATGAACAGTGAACCCCGGATCCTGCTGCTGTGGGCATCCTTACTAGTGCGGATGGGATGCAGGGGTGGCAGTCTGAGGTAAAGGGGCTTAAGAATGTGCCTTCCCCCTTGAAGAACACGCGTATGAGACCTTTATAAATACTAACAAGTATCTGCCCCTGGCATGTACGATGACGGGGAGTGGGGGGGCGGGCAGAAGAGAGACAAACAGCACAGGCACAGAGCGCTCTCTCTGCCCCTTCCTCTTTGGTCCATTCAAAATCGTCTACAGGCAAACTTTAACGTCCGTCTGAAACAAACAGCATTCTGAGGTTTACAGAAGCACCCTTCTGTAAAACTTCACTATAAAATATAGACTTCCAAACTCAAAGTATTCTTACCTGGAGTGTTTGCGTAATCAAATAGAATGTTTCGCATTTTACAGTCGCCTCCACTCGGATTAAAGGAACCTTAAGTGACAGGCAGAGCTCCAGGAGATATCTACGCATCCGGGTCTCTGTATTTATGCCTCTGTGCATCTCACCTGCTCTACTTAGGGCAGATTTTCCATCAAATAAAGAGTCCACCCACCTACTGTATGCAAGATATGCTATATAGTCATCTTAGGTGGATTCACGGGGGCAGGAAATAATGAAATGAGTCTTTTTTTTTAAAGGAATAGTTCATGAGTCAGACTCATCTTAGTTCCGCCTGGCTCCCTCCCCCTCCCCCCCCTCCCAGGTTTCCACAATGTGCTGTATTTCCACACACATCCTAGCTTCCTGACCCTTTCCTTCCAGCGGTGGGAGAGTCACTAAGACAAGTACAGAAGGCCTGAACTACCACTCGGAGCAACGGCGCCTCCTAGTGGCCTGGCTGAGCCTCGTTTGCCAATTGAATAAGGCCTGGAGTTTTTGAAGGAAGCCACTAGAGATGATTACCACGGCAATGGTTGAACCATCAGACGAAAAACCTCCGCCAGTGAGCTGAAACCAACTCTTGTAGGGCAAAGGCAGATAGTTGTGTAGTCATTTTCACCTCAAGGGCCAAATGGTGTAAATCCATTTCTACTTGTAACCTGAAAAGGGCATGCTGGGCATTTGTGAGTTTTCTCACCCCAAGCTCTATCACTGTCCCTTGTTGCACCGCAGTGATAAAATGTGTATCTAGCCCCCGCCACCCCTGACCTGTTCACAGGCAGCATTGTGCAAGAATCATGGGAAGAGCTGTTCTAGACAGAGGAACTCCAAGCAAGCTTATAATTTCTCCAACCCTCAGTTTCCCCACCTGTAATGTGGGCACATTTGTAGTAGGTACCTTAGGATAGAGCTAGATAGTGCTGTTACACCAGCACTGCTACTCTTTTCAGGCACATGCCTGTGCCCATTTTTCCCCAAATCTGCATTCTGTACTATTAGAGTCTTTGGCTTACAAGAAAAATGCAAATCCTGGCGTGGTGACTCATGCCTGTAATGCCAGCTCTCTGGAGGCCAAGGCAGGTGGATTGCTACAAGTTGTAGGTCAGCTTAGGCTACATATTGAGATTCTGTCTTAAAAACAGAGAAAGCCAACTATTTTAATGAACACTGCTACTCGTGAAATCCTCCACAGGAGTCTCTAGAACAGTCATGGGATAGAATTATGCAACAGAGAACCTCACCTCTGTACACGATTCCTCACTCACTATTGTACAACACATCTGTAATCATAATGCATAGAATTTACCGACCATTTAACGTTCTTCAGGTCGTCATGTCCAAAAGCAAGAGAAACACTGTAAACTATGCTGCAGAGGGTACAGACCTAGCCCCACGCTTCACGGCTATCCAGGAATGAATCTGAGCCACTACCGATGCCCGCCGTGTGGGCGAATTAGCCCCACACTAGATGAATCAACACCCAGGTGATTTCAGGCATAAAAATGTCTTTCAACCTAAAGAGGCCAGAGGAGACGGCTGAGAATGTTGAAGGAAGCAATCCCTGGGTACACTGTGAATAAAGCCCGCAGACCCTTCAATAGAAAGTGGATTTACTCTGCTAAGGATGAAATCCTGTAAGCCTTAATAATCAGGTAAGCTGCTGCAGCGCACGGCAGGGACATTCAATCCCTCCCCTCCTCATCTTACCCACAACCCCTTTCACATTCCCGGAGATCAGCCTGCTCTATCTCATGAGAACACATCACACAAGCCTGTAAACCCATTTCCCTCGAAGGCCAGGGAGAACTCCCTCATTCTCCAGTGAGCTGTTAGGAACTCCTGCATCTGGGTGGAGAGGGCCTGGGCTCATGGCACTGAGATTTCTGGTATTACAGCAGTGGTCATAAATGGTTCAAGGAATTTTCTTTTCCGGTTAGAACGTACTTTGTGAAAATTCAGTGTAGGAACAGAGATGCGCTATACGCTTCATTTACAGTGTCGGTCGATGCCACCTGGGGAGGGAAGCCAAGTTACAGGATGCGGCCACAAGCCTGCTGACCTCCTGCTGTCTGAACCTTCAAGATGGAGACAGAGACTGCCAATTCTTCTTCTTCTTTTTCTTTTTCTTTTTCTTCTTCTTCTTCTTCTTCTTCTTCTTCTTCTTCTTCTTCTTCTTCTTCTTCTTCTTCTTCTGCTTCTTCTTCTTCTTCCTCCTCCTCCTCCTCTTCTTCCCCTTCTCCTTCTCAGATTTATTTCATTATTTATCTCTTCATACATGAGCGTATCTGTGCACCTGTGTGTGAGTGTTTCTGGAAGCCAGAAAGGGGCTCAGATCCCTTGGAGATGGAGTTACAGGCTGCTGTGGGCTGCTTGATATGGGTGCTGGATCAGAACCCACATCTCCAGAAAGAACAGCAGTGCTCTTAACTGTTGAGACATCTCCCCAGCCCCAGCCTCCAGGTTTCCAAGTAACAAGCTCTGTCTAGACTTACATGGACTTCACTACTTTTAACACAGAGGAATCTAGAAGAGTCTACCCGGTTTGACCCATAGGAAGGCTCCTTTGATGGGACTCTGATAAATTCTTAGTTCTAGCACCAAATAGCAAATTTTTTTGACATTACTTAATGTTTTCTTTTTTAGGGCCCATTTTGGTTGTTGTGATAAAATACGACTTGTAGAATTCCAACATTTTGCTGCTCCTCACAAGAATAATTTCATTTATTAAAATCTATAATTAAGAAGAAATTGTTAAACAAATAATCAACCACATCAAGGCATAGCTGGGGAGTGGTTACTCTTCCCCTTGTCAGGGGTCCCTAGCATTGCCCGATTTTATCCATATTGCTTTCCAGGTTTTCCTAATTTTATTATCTAAGATGCTGCTTTTATCAAAGCAGGGAAGCTAACATTCTTCCCTGAATAAAGAACAAGTTGAAGAATGCACAGAACATGATGTCCTGTGTCCAGCTCTTGCTGTCAGTCCCTGGGCTTGCCCTGGGGGAACACAGCTCCTCACTCTGTTCTTATCTGAAGAGGTTCTGGTCCCTGGTGCATTTGACCTCAGTGGGATGTAGGGGGTCTGGTTGTTACACTTCTTTCTGGGGTAGAAGAGATGCCTCATTTCTTCTCCAAAAGACAGAACACTAAGAAGATATTTTCATTTTATAAAAGAGCATTATACATGTATGCACACACATGACTATATATATATGTGTGTATATATATTCTTCTATGATGGTTGGACTATAAGCACAGCACACTGAGCACCTGGAATGGACAGATGTGGTGAGCTCTGTATCAGATTGTCAGAACACTCTCATAGAATGGTGAAGCTGGCTACATTCCTCATTTGCAGAACACAGGGTGTTTCTTATTGCTGGCAGCTGCCTCCAGCTGCAGCAGCCTAACCCCCAGCTCACTGGAGTAGCCAGGAACTGCAGGCTGTCCCTTCAGTGGGAGCTGCATCTGAGAAAACAAAAACAGAACCAAGTCTCGCTCTTCCCTGGGCTGGGATGTGAGCAGAGAAAACCTGACCATCCAGGGTCACGCCCTATAACCTGACAAATGACAATCCCAGATACTATGGGACACACGGACACCAGGGATGGATGGTGAACTGCAAATCAGCCACATCATGCCTGCAACGGATGCCACGTTCAAGCTGTAAGAGAGCGTCATTGGAAAACAACAACACAACTGAGTAGGAATTTTGCTGTAGCCCACACGCGTCAAGTGCTGATGTCACAAGTCATGTCAGTGTCTGGCATTCGGAAGTCACAGAAAGATGAGTTCCTACCATATTGCTACTGGTCGCCTGGGATCAGATTTGGGGTTTGACACCTGCTCTGAATGGCCCCACACGGGATGTGCCTTACACTGTGCACACGGGGGAGGGGGAGGGGAGCATGCACGCACCCCAGAGTTTCCTCTCACCTTCAGCCTCCCTGATCCTGCGTCCCACTGCGGACCTGCGCAGCACGCTCCTTCCCGAGTTGAAGAGGCTGGCCAGCTCATCCAGGGGGCTGGACAGCGGCCTGCTGTTGGGCGGGCTGTAAGGGCTCGGTGGGGAAAAGGTAGATGAGGCCTTCCTGAGGTCTGCTCTGCCTGTCCTTCCGGGTGAATACGGAGCCTTGGCGAAGGAGCTGCAGGGACCCAGCACTGGGGCTGAACTGGGCTTGGGCTGTGTCCTGGGCAAGTCAGGGTTAGACAGTGCTTTCGCTGCCGCCGTAATCAAGACAGAATCCGGTGGGAAGGCGAAGTGTGTGGGTGGCCTGCTGGGTGCAGGGACCGGTCCACAGGGTGCAGGAGGCGGCCCTGGGGGTGGCGGTGGTGTGGAAGGTGGTGAGACTCTGTTGGACCCGTTAAATACAGCAAAGCCAGGGCATGCCGGCTGGTCACTGTCCCCCTGCTGGGGTTTTGAATATTGTGGTGACAAGGGACTGGAGCTTTCGGACTGCACCGGGTACTTGAGGTTGGTCTCCAAGACGGGCAGTTTCTTCACCTCCAAGGGTGTCAGGGGCGACTCATCAGAAGCCGGGGAGCAGGTCACTGGGGTGGGAGGGAAGACTAGGAGTGGTGGCCTGTGGGGAAGCAGATTTGGGAAGGGTGGAGGGATGTCACACGTGTCCTTCAAGGGCTGGCAGGGCCCCTCGCCAGCCTCCAAGACGATGGCTTTGCGAGTCTCCAAAAGCAGAGGAGGCGAGGCAGGCAGGAAGGTGAGCATCCCTGAGCCACAGCCCTCCTCAGGCAAGACATACTTCATCTCCTCATACACAGACTCACCCTGGTCCGGGCTGTCAGTCTCGGAGCCTCCCGCCCTGGCTGCGTTCCCCACCATCTCAATATACACAGGCTCGGCATCGTCATCATAGCCCGTCTGTGGCAACGGCAGGGGCAGGGGCAGTTGCAGCGCACACTGCGGTACCGAGTCAGGCCTGGCCCTCTGCACACTCAGTGTCCCTGGAGCCTGATGCCTGCCGACAGGGCCCATCACACCAGGGGGCCGCGGGCCCCAGATCTCCTCGTAGGAGCCACTGAGCTTTGTGTGGGGGCTTCTCTTTGGCTTTCGAGGAGGGATCTTCTTCATGGTGCTGTAATCATCGCTGTGGGGTCTGGGTCGTGTCAGAGCTAAGGCAGAAGACAGAGATACAAGGGTCAGTAGGCAATGTGTCCCAGAGAAGCCAGGCCTACATGGGGTTGAGCGACCCTGCCCCAGATCATCTTGGTTGCCACAGCCCTTGTCCTCTGAGCAGAAGAGGCCCCTGAATTGTGTTCCTTCTATCTTCTAGGACTCTGGATTGGGGACCTAGATGCCCGAGACCCCTAAGGGAAACGTTTTGGGTCTTGGTGCCAGAGGCACAGGCTACACATTGAGGAGGATGGCCCACAGAGAGGGAATTACAACAGATGCTTTAGGGCGAGGCGCTACTCTCCTGGGTGACAGTGCCTGGTGGCTTGGGATGTGCGGGAATGAGTGATGGTATAGAACTGCAATTGTGCAAGACATCAAGCCCATCTTCAGCCTCCGTGCGGCCACACATGGCGAAGGAAAGCCATCGCTTCAGGAGCAGAGGACAGCTCATGGGGTGGGAGCAAAGTGTTTGCTCTGTTCTGGCAACCTGTGCTCACACCACAACGGAAATTGCAAATAACATGGTTGATTTTCTACCTCTCAAGGCCATCTTTGCATGATGGTGTCTGATGTATGTGTTTCTCTTACTGGTTGATGAATAAAACACTGATTGGCCAATAGTCAGGGAGGAAGGTAGGCGGGGCTACCAGACCCGTGAAAAGCTGGAGAGGAAGGCAGGGAGGTGCTGCGAGGAGCCGCCATGTGGAGACTGGGAAGATAGGACACGCCAGCCATTCTCTGGTAAGATAAGACCATGCAGAAATACACATATGAGTAGTTATGGGTTAATAATTAAGAGAGAGCTAGCCAGTAAGAAGCCCTAGCCACCGGCCAAAAGTTTATAAATTAATATATGTCTCTGTGTGCTTGTTTGGGGGCAAAGCTGCTGAGGGCCGGGATGGAAAGAAACACTAGGGACAGGTGTCATACAAGGCCTCCTCTGCCATACAAGCATTCAACTACTATAAGCAGAAGAAGCATCATTCCAAGCCCCCGAGGGCTGACCCACAGCCCTCCTGAGGTTCCCCCCAGACAGCCTAGGAAGCCACGTGGTTCAATACCACCTCAGAGTCACTTCACAGACACTGGAGGCAGCGGATTTGCAGTAGACAGCATTTTCTGCAGCTGGCTTCCCAGTGGGAGGGTCTCCAACCACCCCAGAGAGAGATGTTGGCGGGATGATCTTGGGAGGATCCTGCCATCCGAGGCTTCTGCCTGGCTCCTATTCTGGAAGGAGCTTCATTGAGTGAATCCTGACTTCACTGAGGAGTGTGGACACAGTAACCCCTCTACAGGATGTGTGGAGAGACATCAGGGAGGGAAAGAGACGCCATGTGGAGAGAAAAAAAAATATGCTTCAGAGAGGGAGAAGTCTTAAGGAGGGGAGGAGCTGAGGCCAGAAGGTCCTAAGACTTTACTATAAGACCCAGAAATACATGAGCCATGCCTTTAAGGGCCCCCGGTATGAAGATGGCCACGGTCACACTGCAGAGAAGCAGCCAGATTCTAGACTCACAGAGAACCCTGCCGACATCCTTGGATGCCCAGTCACTGACTTCTGGGAAGTGGCTTATGTAACCCAAAACATGTCATGCAGATACCGGAACCCGTAAGCGGACTGTGGCTCTGACTGTGACACAGTGACCTCATTTTGGGCAGTCAGCATTGAAGCGACCCTTGGCAGTAGCCTAGTGGCCCGAGGATGCTCTGAGAGGAGTCCAGGGAAGACTCGATGTGGAAGCCACGCAGAGCCGAGCAGGGCCCTGGGCTGCAGTGAGAGGGCAAACGGAAAATGTCTAGCCGGCTAAGGATGCCATCAGGCAGGGGGACCCGGCTGCTTCCAGGGTCCTTCTAGTGTGACGGTGAAGAGACGAGGCCAAGAACTTACTATGAAAAGAGAACAGGGCTTTCTTGATCATGAACCCACCAGCGCTCCCTAGTACGCTTTGAAGAGGGCCTGCTATTCTGACACGCAGAAGGACTTGGACCTCCGGGAAACCTGCTCTGGAGTTGGAGCCAGTCACACACAAACAAACGTCCTCCATTAAGACTCCAGAGAGACCTGCGCTGTCCTTCATCCATCTCCCGAAAGAAGCAAGGCCACAGGCCTGAGTGTTGCCTCACACACAGTGAAGAGGACCCCACACAGGACAGCTGTGGATATGGCCGCTGGCCAATGGGATGTGCTACCCGTTGATTCACGAGCAGTTCACAAAGCTTCCAAAGAGACTGTGCCCGCGCACCCCGAAAGTGGTAGTGGCAAACGGGGAGGAGAGTCCGGGCCCTGGAATTTCACCTGCCAGCAACAGGCTGAGAGAACACTGACCCTGAGGCTACGTCACCATCAAGGTGAGGAAACTGTAATTCAAAGGGAGACCCGAAGATTCCAGAGCCTCAACCCAACAGGCAAGGAAGGTGGCGGTGACGGAGGGGACCGGTCTCCGTTCCCATAGAGGCCCTAGTGACACCCTCTGACTATTGCTCTAAATGGCAGGCACAAAGGACCCTGTGTGTCACCCCACTTCCCCTTTCAGGCAGGAGCGTGTGGAACACGTGTCTGATACTGTCCGTCAAGCCGGTGTGGACCGTCATTCTAAATCACAAGTCTCATGCACCTTGTCAGGGTGAACATGAAAAGCGCAGCCTTGAAGGGTCGGGATGCTCGCTTAGTTTAAGGAAGCTCAGCCCAACCCTTGAGTTTTAGGGGATGCTGGAGGGAGGCTCTGGGGGCTTCAGGAGGTGGTGACCCTACGGCACATGAGGGGAGGATGGTTTGCTTTGTCGAGGATTTATTTTCAGTCCTTTTGAGTGACTGAA